CTTGGTGGCAGCGTATCAATATAAAGTTCATTACTGTTAATGACGTTTTAATGAACACCCCAGAACTACAACGCGATACCAGTATAATACCATAGACTTATTATTATTTAGACTTGATACTATTCGTTATTATATTAACATTATAACACAAATATATATTTAAATATTTTAACCAATAAAACTATGTCTATGTAAAATACATCCCTGATATAACCAACTTAATTTCAGAAGCACCATGGAAAATCAATTGGGAAAGTTAGTGGCGGAACCTTCTGGCCAATTTGATCACTTTACAATAATGTCGTTAAAAGACCTAGAATATTTATTACAAAAAGTTGCTCCATTGATAACTAAAAAGAATACACCTAAAAGAGAAGCAATACCTGCCAAAATTCGACTAGAAATTACGTTTAGATTTTTAAGATAATTACTAGAATCAGGCGTTAATTTGCGGAAATCCATTATATTAAAGTTATGGTGTTAAATTATACTTTCGGCATTTATGTAAAAGAGACAACTCATCCGTTGGATACTGGACATCAGAAATATTTCTAACACGGGGATAAAATTGGTGATACTCTGTATGTATGTCGTTGTTTATTATTTTTAAACTATCTGGTTTAGATGGTTTACGAAACTTATTGGCCAGAGTCTTGCCACATCAATCGCAATCGTCTTCGGGCACTTGCTGTTTATAAAAAACATTATTCAGTGAAGTAAGGGTTTCCTTCATTCACTTTCCAGCTTCTTGCAATTCTGCCGCATTCTTTCAGCGCCGCGGTATAGTTGGCAATGAAGAGGAAGTCGTAGGTTCTAATGCACTTTCAGGCGTTGGTGGATTCTGAAAATAATAAAAAAATGTTTATTTTACATTACAGATGCCGCAGGATCCACAGTCGTGGTTGCAAGTAGCTTTGTTCAGTGTTCAGAAATTTTCCTAGGTGTATAGGAGCAATAGATGGGAAACACAGCGTTATGCAATCTACGGTACATAGTGAGTGGTTCGGAATTTTATAATAATATAAATAGTTTTAGCATTGTACTCCTTGCTTTAGTCGACAGTAATTACAATTTTATTTTTGCTGAAATTGGAAGCCAGGGAAGAATTAGTGGCGGCGGTGTCCTTCAAGCAGTTAACTGTGGCAAAGCATTTGCTCTAATAATCCGAATTTTCCGATCCTAAGAGATTACCAAGGAGTTTAAGAGATGTACCATATGTTTTTCTGGGAGATTGAGCATATACATTGTCAACACATGTGATGAAGCCGTATCCGGAAAGTCATAATGAACGAACGCCAAAACGTATATTTAATGAGAAACTTTCGTTCTCACGCGTGGTAGCTGAAAATTTATTTGAGATACTACTAGCTTCAAAATTCAGAATATTTCGAAAACCGATACAACTTAACCCTTTAAAAACCACTATTATTACTATTGTGGCGGGTGGGAGGAAAAGGGGAGATCTCTCGCCGGGCAAGGTGTTCCGGCCAACGCTCCGAGTGGTAGTTCGGAGCTATTCTATATACACTGTTTCAATTTCGGAACTTTGTTAGCGCGATTTAGGCTTCGATATGTTTTGCTTGTGATGCGACGACAGCGCGACAAAATTTTGCAGCAGTACACAAGTCATAGTGTGGCACTATGACTTGTGTACTGCTGCAAAAATTTTTAAGAATGAGTAGTACGCCATCTGCAATATGTACACCTCCAGGTTCAATTGACGTTTACAACAGTAATGACATACAGGAATGAATAACGAAAAGGAGTGAAATTGAAGACACGTTTACCATCAGGCCCTTTATTGGATATGAAAATTTAGTTTAAAATATATGATAGTAGGTGGCAGCACATTTTACGTATGTTATTGTAACTAAATATTCTTACAATGTCTGTATCGTGTCGAAGATAATAAATAAATTATTCAGTGATTATAAAGTGTTGTCTTAAATTATAAACCCATAACCTAATAGGTTATAAGCCTAGGAAACTCAGGACATAGAAGTACAGAAGAAATATGCAAAGAAAAAGTTACAATCGTGTTTGAGAAACCATTAACAAAATAACCTCAAAATGGATTCCATGCGGTCAATTAATTTAGAAAAATTTGATGGAAAACACTTTCTTCAGTGGAACTTCCAGATAAAATGTGCTCTAAAACCTAAAGGAATAGATATTTCAAAACCGAAACCACAAGGCGACTGTACAGATTGGTTGAAAAGTGACGGCACGTCAATATTCTTCATAGCATCTTCGATGGACTTTAAACAAATTACACTAATAGAAAAATGCGAAACTGCCTTGGAGATTATGTCAAAATTAGAAGCAATCTATGAACAGAAAAGTGAACACGAAAAGTTTTATCAATACAAGATGGCGCCGGCTGACAGAGTAGCTCACCACATATAAAAAGTAGAAAACTTAGCTAAACAGTTGAGAGAAAGTCGTGACGCTATCAGTGACATGGCAACCATAACAAAAATATTCGGAACTTTGCCTTAGAGTCAGCGCACACCAAGAGCATAGCAGAGCATTTTCTGAGAACACTAAAATATTAATTTTATGACTATTGACAGACAGTGCAAAATTATATACACGTCCAAACTTGATGCTCGACCCTGTTCGAGCTTGCAGGATGTATGTTCGAGCATGCGCGAGCGCGCTCGCACCACCGCCGCCCGCGCTCAGTATTGCAGCAGCGAAAAAACTGTTTGGACGTGTGTTTAGTTTATACCTATAAGCGCGTCACATAAGTCGGAATCATGGACGAAGTCGATAAGTTTGGTGCAGCGTTTTGAGTGTCCGTACCATATATCAAGTCCAACATACAGCGATCGTATGTTAAAATCCAATGCTCGGGAAAGAATCTCCCAAGAAATGGGACAATCAGGTAAGTTTAGATGAGTGATTAAAAATGTATTGATTCCTTTTTGCACATATACCTACATAAAAATAAAGAAACATTTTATAGAACAGCGAATTCATAACCAGTACAAAAGGCTGCATTTTTGATTAGATATTTGTTCATATTTTATTTTCTCTTTAGTACAGTTTAGAGTAAAATACAGGTTCATGACTAGGTAGGTACGCCAACTTAAGAAAACTCAATTATTATTTTAATCAATACAATATTTATTCATTTTGATTAGTGTTTACAGTTTGCTAACGCAACTAAGTAGGTATATCAAATTGTTGGAGACCACGTCGTCATTCTAAATTTAATGTATTGTCTACATCGATTAATTATATAATCTTGCCAGGTAACTGATCCAGCTTCTGAATAAAAATATTATTTGAATTTATCTCAGAACCCCATAAACAGCTTCTACCGCTGTTTTCATCCAGCGGTAGAAGCTGTTCAAAAATAGTGTCTGAAGGGGGGTAATGTTGTGTGAGTGTATTTGTTGTGACGCTGAGGGATGGCATTTGTCGATGAGGAAATTATGCAAACAAGTACAAGCCAAAATGATCATATCAAGGTGATGAGGATGCACTTTCTGCAATCTTTAAAAAAATTAAAATTTCTTTTCCACTATCCCGAATGCACATTCTACAATTTGTCGAGCTCTGCTAAGTCGATAGTTATAATTTTTTTTTCTCGATCACCCCTAATATCATTTCCAGGATACGGCCTCATTATATTTTAGCCACAAATACGGGTGGCATTTCTTGATTTGTACCTGGTAAGCACTTGTTCTGGGGTATGTTGAGCGTTCCATTATGTATTTTGTTTCCTAACCGAGACTTTAAGAATATACCGCCATTACTATTGCGTCCATATGCACCTACATCAACCACAACGAATTTGTATTTTGCATCTACAACCGCCAATAATACTGTAGTAAATGTCTTTTTATAATTGAAATATTGGCTTCCGCTATTATGTGGTGCCCGTATAACTATGTGCTTTCCGTCGATAGCACCGATGCAATTAGAAAAGTTCCAAATATTTTTGAAATCTTCTTCGATCTGTGACCAGGTCTCTGAAGTTGGCTTTGGCATCACTAAAGGCTGCAATACTTTCCAAATCGCAGCGCACGTTTCATGAACTATTGTACGGACTGTAATGAAACCCACGCGGAAATTAAAAGCCAATGATTTAAAACTACTGCCTGTAGTCAAAAATCTGAAAAAAACGTATTTCTTTTTTTAAAACGTTGCGACCCAGCGAGTGGGAAATGTTAAGTGGTTCTGCTGGCGGTAAGCGTCGTCCAAATTTGAAGTCATTAGAGTTTTTGTAACCACAACTTCAGCACAGCCAACAAACTTCAAAAGACACATCGTCAGAAGACACACAATCTTCAAATTTACAGTTAACACCCGTCAGAGACTGATGAGACACGAGAAAATGAATCTCCTAGGCCATCATCCCATATTTCAAATTATTCCCATCCCATATTCAAGCCAGGACGGACTTCAGAGATTCTTAGTTTCCTTCATTTTACTGCTAGTTAACACGCATTTGTTCAGAGTTTTTTTTTTTTGAGATGTACACACTCTGAACCTGGTAACCCTGTAACTTATCTAGCAATGTCATTCCTTTTTTTCGCGCGCTACGATTAACACGCAATTAAATTTCATCGGGGAAAAAACGTGATCAGTTTTAAAAGAATAATGCCAAAAAGGCGAAAAGAGGATATAGAACGTAATTTACAAAGATATTATAGAAAAATCAGGAAACTATAGTCCGGCCGCTGAGTTATTACCGATTTGACACATGACGAATTGACAATACTAGTGAAGTGACTGAACCAGTAACCCTAATATCATTTGGGAACAGTTTGTTTTTAAATATTCTAGTATAGTGTGTAATGAAATAAAATCAAAACAATAATAGTTAAAGACACAGGTTCTTTATTAGGTGGAGTATCCTTGATGGGCGTAGATAATTGGTCGAGGACATATCAAAATAAAACAAATTTGTAAACACTGTTACACATTTTAATGAATAGAGTAGGTACAAGATGTTTTAATAAATAACTACCTATCATTTATTAAAACAATTATTCAGACTCTGAACCAGATTCGCCAGAGCTGTCATCGCTATCAGTCACTTGTATGACAATTTCATTCTCTATAATGGTGTCCACTCTTATATCGCGTTCATAATCTTCTGTTATTAGTTTTCGAGTCTTTTCGACGACCTTGACCCAATCTTCTTTCGTTATTTTGCTGCAAGCATCTTTTAATAGACCCATCATTTTATTAGTACTGAATGGCGGAGTCGTATTATTACGAGCTGCGTAACCTGTAATGTAAACATTAAATAACGTTAATTTATTACATTAAATAAACGAAATGTTACACAATTACCTACATGTAAGGGACATGAGATATTTATTTCTTAGTTATGTATCTTTTTACTTATATGCTGAATATTGGATGTTATAATAGTACAAATTATTCATATTCATAACTTATGCGATAAAAAACAATACCTTTGATTCGTGCCCATATTAGCTCAATGGCATTGTACTGGCAGTGATAAGGCGGAATTCGAAGTACCCGATGTCCATGTGCTAGAGCTATCTCATCTACTTCATAACGGACTCTTGATGTTTTATTTTCGCGTACCAACTTTACTAAGTCAGACTTTAGCATTTTGGCAGTAGTTTCAATTCCATTTTGGTGTAGCCATGCTACGAGATCAGCTTTCTTGTCGGCCTGAGTAGGTGCTTTATTCACTTGTTTCGAGTGATATGAAGCGTTGTCCATTATTATGATAGAAGGCTCTGGCAGGCTGGGTAATAATTGATTTTCGAACCAATTCGTAAAAGTGTCTGTATCCATCTCCTCCTGGTAATCGGAAGTACTTTTTGACGCGAAAGCCAGCAGTCCATTTTCAAAGAAACCACTTCCAGCAGAACCGGCGTGACAAATTATCAGTCGCGATCCTTTTCCCATTGGAACCTTTGAGGTTGATGCTTTTGTTTCGTCAGTCCAAGAGCGTGACACAGTGTGGTTCACATTTAACCATGTTTCGTCAACAAAAACGACGTTGTCCCAAGACTCGATTTTTCTGGCTTCTCTTAAAAACTCGCTCCTTTTAATTATTAAATCAAATCTTTCCATTAATATTTTCCTTTTATTCGTTTTTTTATATTCAAACCCAATTTCGTGCAATAGTTTTGACAACGCCGTTTTACCGCCTTTAAACAAGCCAGCTTCTTTTAAAGAGACCAAAAGCAAACGTCTAGTTGGAAACTCGTTCCTAGTATAATAACCATATATGTGGTTTCTTATTGCATCTGCATCAAAAACATCAACACCTGTCACGGGCTTTTGTCTTCGTTTTTTCTTAGGAGGGCGTAAAACATTATCTTCACTTCCAGAAGCACCAAATTTTTCTTTATTTATATTATATAGTGTTTTTGCACCAATTCCAAGAGCTTGTGAAACCCGATCTTTCACTTGAGTGACAGAAATCAAAGGAGGGCCGCCATTTTGTGACTCACGCTCAAAGTAATCCTGTAGCTTTAGTACAAGCTCACGACATTGACTATTCAATGTTTTTCCTCGTTTCGGCATTTTCAACAAAATTACCAAACACAAACAAAATTAGTCCAATAAAGCGCAACGATAAACAGGAGAAAGCCGAGTCAAAAAACAACGGTTACACAAGAGAACGTAGTCTGTGCGCACGAGAGTACGGAAGACGACTAAACAGATTAAAATAGCGGTGGTAAGGGTGTTGCCAGAATAGTATCGCCAATTACTTAAAAAAATACACCTATAACATTGCTTAATTGAGGGAGAAAATTATATTTATTAAATGTTGTTTTATATATTATGAATGTTAAAAATTATACATAATCATTTTAATTGTATTTATTTTTAAATCATAGAAAACAGTATTTCTGTCTTTAGATCACACATAAATCTTAAAAATCATAGAGATACTGGCAACACAGTGCAATTAGGAGACGCAAAAAAATGGTAGCATTATAGTCTAGTTGCTCGAAGGAATAAGTAAAATAAAAATATCATAAAATAAATATCATATCTATTCCAATGAATTCCGACCGAATACTATCAAGCACATCACTATGAAAACTAGACGCACGATGTAACTTTGTACAAGCGCGCCAAAGAACAAAAAATAAATGTTTTCATATTATTTACAAACTATTTTAAGTTTTGAAACAGAGTTTATTAGAAAATTACTTGATTCTGACATTTTGACATAAAGTTTTATATTAAAGAGGTATTCTAAATCATTCGGCAAATGTGTCGCTCGTGCAAGGTTATATCGATTAATTTAAGAATAATCTGTCAAATCGGTAATAACTCAGCGGCCGTACTTATAGAAGGAATCAACGTAACCGCTGTCTGACGACCCTCAAGGTAAGCAACAAAATTAAGCAAAATTGCTACTCGGGGTGTGTACGAGATGCAAACATGAGCGTTATTAGGCCCTGGGAATGTCCGCGAGACATTACGAAGGCATTCTGCAAGCGCGTATTGTACGCGATACCGTACGCTTTATGCTCCTAATTACATGTAATTCACATCTTTACAGATGACGAAATAATAGAAGTGAGGGGGGGGGGCACCACAGTCTCCAGAAGCAGCCTCAGAATCGAACACTGTCGAGCTAACTCACCATCATGGTGATACTGTTACTTGTAATGAGGCAGGACCTAACACTATTGAGGTTGTCGAAATGACAGAGCAGCACATGCCTTTAGACAATGTGGATAAGGAGACAGAGGTATTAGATCCTGAGGTGCTTGGGCGACCCAGTTGTGGAAAAGCAAAAATTTGGCCCAGATATAAGCGACAACTTGGCATCACGCTGGACACCTATTCTTAGGAAAGGCCTCAACAAAGAGGATAAAGAAAGTATAACAAAGCTGTACCAAATTCCATCAAACTGTGACCTGCTCCTAGTCCCCACATTAAACCCAGTGTAGTAGTAGTAGTAAGGGTATATAAAAGTACACACACAAGTGTAATAATAATCCTATATAATCAAATTTATTAATACAATAAAGAGAGTCTTGTATCATCATTCGTTTGTTTAACTCCTCTCCTAACATTCGCCCTACACCAGAAATCGCCACAGCCATTACAGAAATGGCACCCTTATGGCACCCATATGGCACGCGAATATGACACCCTTCGCCGTATTTGAAGTGGAACATTTTTTCTATGTGCAACTGATGAACTAAATCAAGCTATGGCGTTCTATCTTGAGCTGCGCGACTGTGTACACGTGTTTAACAAAAAGTTAACGAAAAATAACATCCAAGATGGGCGGTAAACAGACTAAAGAAGATACCGTAATTGTGCAAAACGCAGTGGGAAGCAATAAGGCAGGAGTTGAACAATTACAATTTCACCTGACTACGAGTAATATTTTGCTGTCTATCATTGTGCTAGTACTTCTACTGGGGTCCCTGTATTGCTTCTATCGGACATATAGGCGATGTCATATAAAGTGGATTAACACAGAGATAAACAGAAATACCCTGAGAAGGTCTATTTTTCGGCAACCACAACCCTCCACAAATGTGGAAGAGGCAAGTCAACCAAGGGCGTATTATAATGTATGACCGGCGCTGATCAGTGTTTAAAAGTGGAGTTTACGTGTATATAAAATGAGTAAAAAAGTGCGTGTCTATTAATAGTGAAAAAAAAAAGGGTAATGTGTTTATAAATCAACTACATAAATCTGGGACTCTAGTCTATATTACCGAACTTTATGTAAGGGTATCTCAAAAGTGAATCATAGAATTCTAAATAAAAGGAATTAATCAATACAATAACAATATTTATTTCTAGTAAACTAAATCAAAGCTAAAGTATAACAAAATAACATAATATATCACAAACCTTCTTGACACTCCGGCGGCTCGTCGCTGAATGATCCCGACTGTTAAGAGCTAACTTTTAATCCACAGACAATATTTGACGTCACTTTAACACAATCGAGTCGAAACGTAATCGATTATTCTCACAGGCATAATACGACTTGACCATAGACTCTTTAGTATTAATGGAGTGATGTAAACAACTACTCTAATGGGCAATGCTTGTTACAGTCGGCCATCCTTCAAAAACGAGTCCCTTCGTTTCTTCTTAGCTTATAAGTTGATATAATAATACTGTTTTAATTTTTAATATATTGTACAATAATTCACATTCCCTAAACTTACATAAACTGTCACACAATTTTAATGAATAGTGGTAACCATAGTACAATGTGTTATATCTATATTTTACAGTCGTGCAAAGTGAGAGCTACTTCCTCCACTCTCACAACGCTGTCACTTATAACAATTGAGCTATTCATGGGCGGTCAATTCATAAGTCAATCATGCCCGACGCGCAAAAATCTCACTAAATCTTAATTATAGCCGTGCGGTGTGAGGGTTACTTCCTTCACAGTCACTCCGTCATCGGCTGCGGTACTTCAAGTCAATCATGGGCGACGAGTTCAAACGCCAATCCTGCCCGACTCTAATACCCGTCACTCAATATCTATAGCCGTGTGGTGTGAGAGTTACTTCCTTCACCGTCACTCCGTCATCGGCTGCGGTACTTCAAGTCAATCATGGGCGACGAGTTCAAACGCCAATCCTGCCCGACTCTAATACCCGTCACTCAATATCTATAGCCGTGTGGTGTGAGAGTTACTTCCTTCACCGACACACCATCATCGGCTGTGGTACTTCAAATCAATCAAGGGCGACGAGTTCAAACGCCAATCCTGCCCGACTAATACCAGTCACTCAATATCTATAGCCGTGTGGTGTGAGAGTTACTTCCTTCACCGACACACCATCATCGGCTGCGGTACTTCAAGTCAATCATGGGCGACGAGTTCAAACGCCAATCTTGCCCGACTCTAATACCCGTCACTCAATATGTATAGCCGTGTGGTGTGAGAGTTACACCACTTCAACTCACTGTCAATGATCAAAGACAAATTACAATTTACAAATAAAAATTATTTTATTTTAATTATGCCCAACATGTAGCTAAACTAAAATATATTTAGTGCATTGAGTTATATTGTACTTGAAAATAAATTACGCAAGGAATGTGTCCTAAGCCTAATTCGAGTGATGTATACGAAGCCTAATATTTTAAATACAGTTTTACGGAATGACCTTAGTAACGGAATCAATAATTCTATGTCATTATAAACATAATAAAATATGAGCACGTTGTAATATTGTGTTTTTTATTTAATAGCAAGGAATCTGCAGCTAGAAAGAAACTTGCTGAGAAATCTAAGAAAATACTTATCTAAAGAAAAAATGTGCTTCTTACAAATCAAATGCATAAAATTTTAAACATAAATTCGGTCTCAACCAAAATGCTGAGATTGATTTAATGGCTAAAGCAGAAGTTGTGGCTTACATAAATCTTTAATGAAAAACAGGAAACAGAGCACGCATTATTTATTATATACTGCATGCACCTTTAATTATTCTGCAGCTGCGTATAAATACGTTAGAGAATGCTATAAAAGTAATAATAATGATATTAGATAATAAATTTATATTTTTATATCTTAAATATTTACTTTTTAAGATATGAAATAAAATATCATTAAAATGTAGTTCTGACATAATATTATGTTATATTATTTTAAATTAACACATATTATGCAAAATAAATAACAATCAAAAAATTGTACTCGATATAATTAACAACACAATCTAAATAAACAATTACTTATTACATACTTATCATTCTACCTACGTATAATGTATGATGACAAAAACTGCGCATGCGCGACTCTACTATCTCCCGCGCATGCGCGAAGACATAGAGTAGCGCACATTTTTTTTTGTTTGGTATAGCTTCTCGAGTACGTAGTACATATAACTCAATGATTTAGTGTCCTAATTTTTGTTCTATTTATACGTAATTATATCTCTACTACTTTCACTAACTTTGAATCAGCAAATTTTATAGGATTCAGTTATGATACGAATATATAACTTTATTAGACATTTTATATTAATAATCAAATTATATTCACAGTACTTAGTTTCAATTAGTCTTTATTACAAATATTATCATTTTTACTATCACTGTCTTCACTGGAAGAGCAAGCAGAGATGTTGAAATTCAACCATCGAATATTTGTCATTTCTTTTATCATGGTAACAGTTGTTTCATACTTTGCTTCTATTTTCGTCAAAGGAGTGTCTTTTACAAGGAACCAGTAATTTGGGAGGACCCTTTTTTTTAAATCCTATATGGCCCCTGACACAGAACCAAACTTCCAACAGCACCTTTTTTTTCTGACCCGGTGCCGCTACTCTCGCCTTTGCTATCCTAACGAGATCACCCTCTATATAATCATAGTATACTCGTATAAACACACACACCTGTCACCCAAAGGGTTAGACAGGGGCTACGGACTTCCATTTGGTACGATTCAGACACACTGCTCTCGCCTCTTTTACATCCATATACCTACGCGTACATGCTTACATGCTCGTTGACTAAGCGTACTATGAATCTGGCCCATCTGCAATATATCGCCAATTTGATCAATAAACTTTTGC